TTTTGTAAAAAATTTAATTACAAACATTTTTTTCCTCTTCCATTTTCGCATAAAATCAACTCTTAAAAAGATACATAATTAAATAGGAAGAAAAATATGACATGTTTCCAATTTTTTTAACATATTGTGCCGTCAAAAGTTAAGCCCACGTTTTTTTTATGCGCATAGAAAAATTTTCATTTCTAGTGATATTTGAAAGCCAAAAAGCCAAAAATCTCCGTGGATATACGATTCACCCAAACCAAAACAGATACCGCCTGGTCTACGGGTACTCTGCTTTTAGACACTCCCGCACTAAAATTACTCTCCTCTTCTTGACGTATGCTGGATCGTCGCTCTGGTGATTCCTCGCACTGCGTCTCCTGGCTCCGGAACCCTATCTCCTCCTTCATCCTCATCATTGAGTTCATCCACTGCTGTGACCTTGTCTTCGCACTCTAAAGGAAGCAATCGCTGCACAGGTCTCAATAGTTCACCCCGTGCAGTTTTAACTCGAACCAATCGAGTATGTCCGTCTTGACCTGGAATAAGTTCTATGATACGCCCTAGGGGCCATTCGACACGCTTAATGTTGTCGTTTTCAATTAAGACAACGTCCCCTAATTTAATTTGCCTATTAGGTTTTGCCTTGATCCAAAATTTCAATTGGCCAAGATATTCCAACCTAAATCGTCGTTTCAAGTCTTCTCTTAATTTTTGTTTGTTCCGCGCACTCCGAGTTAACGAGTTCTTGTCTATTTCGTCACAATCGGGCATGCTAGATTCAGCTTGTTCTCGTAAAAACATGGCTGGTGTAAGCGCTACCAAATCATTGGGATCCTTAGATATGTGGGTCAACGGTCTGAAGTTTATGATCGCTTCACACTCACGCACAGATCAACGTAAGTAGCTCCTCATAGTAAAGGCAAGCACGTCCTAGAACCCGACGAAGCAATTGCTTTACTATACCTATCATTCTTTCAAAAAATCCTCCCCACCAAGGCGCACTTGGGGGGTTAAAACGCCAAACGATTCGTTGTATGGACGTTTCCCGAATAATGTCTATCCAATTGAGATTTGCAAACGCATTCTCGGCTCCCTTAAAGTTTAAATTATCCTTGGCCTACCACGGCGCGCGACAAATCGCCGAAGAACTTGTAGAAAGCCAGCAGTAGACAGTGATAGAGTCAATTCCAAATGAACGGCTCGATATACCGCATAAGTGAATAAACAGATCCATGCTTTTTCACCTGATTTCAGGCAAAGTGGTCCGGCAAAATCTACTCCAACTATTTCAAAAGCCATACTATTTCGTATTCTGTCTGCCGGTAATGGAGGTGGCTCGACAACAAAAGACTTCGACTGAAATCTTCGGCAAGTTGTACATCTTCGCAAAATTGTTCTGATAGTACGTCTACCTCCCAATATCCAAAATTTCTCACGCAATTGCGAAAGAAGAGCTTGCAGTCCCTTGTGACATGATCTCCTATGCATGTCCATGATTAAACATTCTACAGAAAAATGTTTTGCGGGTAAAATGATGGGAAATCTATAGTCATTGGTCTTCTCTGTATGACACTCTAGACTTCAGTCGAATTATACCCGCCTCATCGTAAAAAGGGTTTAAACAATTAACTCTTTGATCGGTAAGATCAGAAAAACGTTCTTTCTGAATTAATTTAAAGACAAAAGTTTCGGCTTCATTTAACTCTTCAACTGTTAAGTCACCTTGACGTTTTTTTTCCGGATATTTCACATTATTTATGTATCTAAAGATTCAACCTATCATCCTTGTAGTTTTGATAAAACTACTGAAATAGAACAAATGCCAAAAATCGGAATACGCTGTATTTGCAAGTGCTACAACTAACTTTTTCTTGCGCTCGTTCGCAATTTCTTCCTCATTCATTGTTGGGTTTTCGGTCGGCCAATTTGATCTATTTTGATATAGCCAACTTGGTCCCTCCCACCATTTCGAGTCCAAAAGTTGTTTAGCCGTGCAACCTCGAGATAGACGATCTGCCGGATTGTATATTCCGGGAACATAGTACCACTGAGGTGCATGTGTTAACTGACGAATTTCAGTCACTCGATTCCATACGAATGTTCCCCATTCTTCATTGCGCTGTATCCACGCTATTACAGTTGATGAATCAGTCCAAAAAAAACTGTCAAATTTGACATTAAGTGTGTCCATTACATGTCTGTAAAGCCTGGCCGCTATCGTTGCTCCCATTAATTCCAGACGCGGGATTGTCAATCTTTTCAACGGTGCTACTCTTGACTTTGCAGCTAGCAAATGTCCGTACATGACGTGTTTTACTACTCTGCAAAATATCGCTGCAGCATATACCTTTTGACTTGCATCACAGAAAGTGTGCATGCTTAAATCTTGTACACTTTTAGTGTCTATAGAGATCCATCGCGGAATTTCTATTTTTGTGATGTGATAAATCAGCAATCCAATTCTGAAAAACAATTTTGATCTCATCATCAACATGTGTATCCCAAGAAATTTGTCTTTCCCATAAACTTTGTAACAGTAACTTTGGCATTAACGTAACAGGCGCCGTAAAACCTATAGGGTCAAAGACTTTTTGTGCCATGGATAGTATCGTTCTCTTCGTGACTGCTTCATTAGAAGTTTTAAAAAAATCTTCACAGATTGTGAACACGTCTCGCTTCGTAAACCATCTTAGTCCGAGAACAGATACACTATAATCATCAGCATCTGAATTTCCAGAAAACTCCCACCCTCTTAAGTCGAACTGTCCTTCTGCCATTATTGAAATTGATTCTCGAATAAATTTATTTAAATCATGTTCATTAGGTACACTGGAAAAACAATTGTCAACATAGAACCTCTTGGATAAATTTTCGAGGGTTTCACGAGAATATCCAGGATCCATATTTTCACACTTATCCTTACATCTTATCAAATGATGCTCAATCGTAGCACCTAATAGAAAAGGACTGCAACTGACTCCGAATACCACTCGTCGATGTCTGAAAACAATTTCTTGGCCTTCTTCATTAATCCAAAGAAATCTTAAATAATCCCGATCTTTTTGGTGTATACTAATTTGTAAGAATGCCTTTCTAATGTCTGATATAACTCCAATCTGGAACATACGAAATCTCAGTAACAATGTAGGTATCAATTCAATTAAATTCAGTCCTATCTCCAGACACTAATTTAATGAGGGACTGCCTGCTTCTTGAGCTGAGGCATCAAATACAGGTCTGATTGCAGTCGTAGAACCTTCCTTAAGAACTGGTCTATGTGGCAAAAAATGACCATAATTGATGTCCTCTTTCACTTGTTCAATTATTTTTAGAGATTCCCATTCGCGAAAAACTTCATTGTATGGCATAATCAAATTGTCCTTTTCTAGTTTGCGCACCGTTGTCGCTAGTCGTTTCTTCGCGATACTGAAATTTGATGGCAATGTAGGATGTCCATCCAACCATGGTAATCTGACCTGATATCTTCCTTCGATATTCACAGTAACCGTTTGCAAAAACAAATCTTTTGCTGCAGCCGCTATTTCCTCCTTGGATTTCTTTTCTGTGGGTTCTTGAATCCCCAATACATCTAACTGACATAGCTCTGTAATTGAAGGATTTACTAACAGAGACAGAACCATCATTGTGCTACTAGCTTCAATCTTGTCCCCAACAACTTTGCCCATTACAGTCCATCCAAGGCTGGTTTCGATTGCAGTAAGACCACATGCTAATTTATGACGTCTCCCTGTATATAATAGACTTGCAACATCTGCACCTAATAAAATTTCGATAGGGCCATGATCTTTTGAATCCGAAACATCAACTCCTAGGCCCTTTAATTCTTCCATCCACGGACCGTAAAAAATAGGAGAAACCTCATTACATATATATGGCTGATCTAAGGGCACATACGCACTAAACGGGTACCCGTAATGCGACCAGCCGTCCGGTTGACCGCATGTAAAAAAAATGTGTGTTTATATATGACATATATACATTATTTCTATTCGCACCATGATGCGGCTGCCCGTAAACCGTTCCGATCGCTTGGAGACCTGCGGCCCCTCCATCGGTCAGCCGCACTGTTAACTATTCGCACTGTGCGTTCAGTTTGCGGGTAGCCGCCATCGTGAATTCTTCAAATGTTCCGCATACTACTGTTAACCGGACGGCTGGCCGCATTACGGGTACCCGTTTAGTGCGTACGTGCGCTAAAACTTCGATAGTGTTTTCGTACTTTCCATTGGCCTCTTCGGCCTGCTCGAAATTGATTCGGCTATAACGATGTAACTAATTGATCAATCGTTCTGTCTTTTTTTAAAAGAAGCTTCTTTCCAAGAACTTTTAAAACCTGCTTTAAAAAATTTGATTTGATTGAATATTCACAAAGTTCTAATTGTTTATAAGTACAACAATTCGACCAATGTTTAAACAAGCGCCAGAGCTCTCCTAATTGACGGATTCGAATTTTTCAAAAAAAGTTTGAAAGCCTGAGAGCCCTTCTATATGTGATTAAATTTTCAAGTATCTCAGAGCCTTGGTTTTTACTGTGCAAAATTTTGAAAATTTGCAATTTTTTTTTAATCTGGATTGCAAAATTATTATGCAAAATCTATCGAACCGATTTTGATGAAACTTGGTGTGATGATTCTACATAACATGAAGTTTTCTTGAGCCAAGTATAAAGGTCCTACACCCAATTTAAATACACCAAAAAAATTCCCTAAAAAGTATTGTTTTTAACCCCATTTTTGTGATTTTTTCGATTTTTACCATAATAATCATGATTCATTCGATTTGTAACCAGTCATGTATTGTAAAAAATTTAATTACAAACATTTTTTTCCTCTTCCATTTTCGACTGAAATCAACTCTTAAAAAGATACATAATTAAATAGGAATAAAAATATGACATTTTTCCATTTTTTTAACATATTGTGCCGCCAAAAGTTAAGCGCACGTTTTTTTTATGCGCATAGAAAAATTTTTATTTCTAGTGATATTTGAAAGCCAAAAAGCCAAAAATCTCCGTGGATATACGATTCACCGAAACCAAAACAGATACCACCTAGTCTATATGTAATTAGCAACATCACGCGACATGTTTTTCCATCTGTAAATACCTTTAAGTTTTTTGAGGTCTTTTTTGGCAACAGTGACCTAATAAGGGATCACCGTCAAATTTCTCAATTAATTTTGCTTTTTCTTTTTTACATGTTATTAACCTACGTTCTGTATAAAGAGTAATAATTACCTTTTTTTTAATATTTTTAATTCGTCGACCGTATACTTTGTGAAAAATGTATCACCTACTAAGTTAATCGTAATTCATTTGTTCCGCATTCACCAGCCATATTATTTAGCTGAGACAATATTTGCTCTAAAGCGATATTGCCATTCGTAAATGGGATAGTTTTTTGAGCGCTCAGTTTTCTTTTATGACTAAGAGATGTAGGCGTTATTTGAAACTTTAATAAGGGCAGTTTTAGAGTGTAGATTATATCATATCTAAATTTTCATAAACTTTAGATTTGACTAACTGCGTTATTTCTGGCGTTGCTTTTATTTGTACTGTTTTAGACATAGCTCGGGTTATGGGAAGCTCCTGCGCTATATTGCCATGTGTCTCTTTAATTGTCATTTCCTTTAATGTATTCAATTTCGAAATCGTTCTCTTCTAAGTTTAATCGAATCCTAGTTAACTTTGAGGAAGGATTTTTCATAGAAAACAAATAAATTAATGGTCTGTGATCTACCCTAGCTAAAAATTTTTGACCGTATAGATAACAACGGAAGAAAGAAATTGCCCAAGGCAATGCTAAAAGCTCTTTTAAAATTATTGGTTTATTCATTTCGCTTTTTGAAAATGTGCGTGAGGCATATGCAATAGGCAAATCATGTCCATTAAAATTTTGAGATAATACGGCACCACAAGATTCATTCATTGACGCATATGTTTAAGTATAAATTGTTTCGTAAAATCTGGATACTGCAGAATTATTTCAAAATTTCGAATGAATTTTGGCATTCTTGAGTCCAATTGAATTGAATATTTTTCCTCAGCTTATTTAATGGTCTTGTAATTTCCGCAAAGTGTGGAATAAATCTCCTATAGTCATTGCAAAACGCTACGAATCATTTCACGTCGCCAGCAGATTGAGGCATTGGATATTTATTTAGAATCGTCAGGTAGAATACCTACCTTTATCTGTAATTTTATGACCTAAATAAGTAACTTCTTTTCTAAAAAATTGACATTTCTCGGGATTACGTTTTAAATTATAGCGTCTGCAAGTATTAAAAACGTTACGCAAATTTGTTGTGATGTTTTTCTGAGCATCCTATAACTATTAAATCGTCCATATATAAAAATGCTTTTTCAGGAGTAATGCCGTCAAAAACTAGAGACATCATTCTTTGAAAACTGTTTGGGCTAACTGAAAGTCCAAATGGTAACCTGGTAAATCTGAATGAACCTGAATCTACGCTAAATGACGTTACATCTCGTGATTGTTCATCTAACTCAATTTGATGAAATCCTGAAATCAAGTCGATAACCGAGAACCATTTGGCTCTTTCTAATTTATCTAAAATGTCGTCTGTTCGTGGTAGGGGAAATTTATCTGCTACTAATTTTTTATTTAATTATCTAAAATCAACTACAAGTCTCCATGCTTTGTTACCGTTAATTGACTTTTTGGGTACTAAAAGAACCGGACTATTATACTCAGATATAAATGGTTCTATAATATCGTTATTAAGCATTTCAGTTACAAGCTTATTTATTTATTGTTTTTGTACACACCAATAGGTGTTCTATAGTTTTTTATATAAACTGGGGTTGGATCTGAAAGTTTCAATTTTTGTGTATCAAAATTGTTCTTTGTTATTTTCTCTGTCTTTAAAGCAAAAATATCTGAAAATTCCTGACAAAGTTGAAATAATTTATCTTTAATGAATTCTGGCATCTCCTTATTTAGCTGCTTTATTAAGTTCTCATGCCTATTAGATTTTTCCGTTTCAATATTAAAAATATTATAATGGGACATATCTATAGTTTGAAGTTGTATTTTTTTTTTAAGTCAACCTTTCAAATGTTGTATTAATAAATTTCACTAAAGGATTGGTTTTTGATATTATTGTTCTAGCCACAAATACACCTGTAACCAATTCTTGATTCATTACTACAGCATCATGCGTAAGATTCAAATTATTTATCTGCCTTGACAACTTCACTCCTTGGAGGAACGACTATAATACCTATCTTCTGCTGGATTATTATATATAGGTATTACTGTTTGACTATAATTTAGGTTAAAAGTTAAAGTCCAATTGCTGTAATTAAGATTACACTTAAATTTAGTAATAAAATCTCTGCCTAAAATTCCATCGGCGGGAACAGGAACATTTGAATCCACATGCATTTGATGAATTACTTCAAAACCTTGTATTAAAATTGTAGTGTTGGTAGTACCCAAGGATCTTACAGTTCCTTGCGTTACTCCTTTTATATTACTAGAATTTGAGGTATTAATGAATTGATTTGGATCAATATTTGTGCTTTTAATATTAGAAATATCAGCTCCAGTATCAACTATAAATAACAACTTTCGAAAGCCAGTCATTTTCACAAAATTTGAGAGTGATAAATCAAAGTTAAAAATGTTTACAATTCCCCCTCCCCCCCAAGCGCACCTGTTGGGGGGCCGCTTCGTTTTCCGAATTTTGCTGCGCTTCGTAAAATCTTACCGAGGATGGTTTATTATGAGAATAATTATATCCAAAATTATTATACCTATTGATTCCGCGGCCGCCTCTATAGCCTCTGCCACGATGTACAAATCCGCGACTGTGTTATTGTCCCCGGTTATTGAATTGATTATAACCATGGTTAAATTGGCGGTTATTATTATTATTAATATGAAAAATACTCGCGTCATTGTTTTGGGGCTGGTGTTGACAAATTTTGTTACAGCGTATTGAATTGTATTAAAATTACCTGCTTCCATGACTATCCTAGCTTTCTCAGTACTAGCATTTTGACTGAAGGCTTTAACCGTGGTTTCAGTAGCATAATTTTCAGCCACCACACATGGTACATCCTCATAATAAATGCTCTTTTTAGAGACGATGCTAGTGACTATTTGTGTAGCATAACCTACTGCGCTTTTATTATTTTAAGTTCATAATTTTTGCTGTTAAAAATCGCGAGCTGTCACCTTTTATGCCTTTTTCTAAAGTATCTATAGCTAGTATCTGTAGCTTCTAACGTTACTTCATCCGTTATTAAATCAGCTCAATAGTAACAACGAATCTATAAAAGATAATAATTAATCAGGAGCACCATCAAATTCATTAGGCACTATTTTACTTGCTAGGTTAAAAAATTCTACCGCTGTAAGAGGCATTTCTGCTAACTCGTCTGAATTTTCTGCTAAATATACTAAAATATTGGGATCAATTTTTGCTACACAGGAGGATGGAATTTTATAGTTAAATACTATGAATGCAGTTAATATCATATCTCTAATTTTCATAGTGTTCTAATTTCGTGTTTTTGCTCTTCATTAAGAGAAAACCATGATAAAGCTACACTTTGAGTAAATTTATTGAAATAAGAGACTAAGTTATCTTTAAAGCCTTGTATTAGTGATTCACATTTAGGAATTTCTTTTTTTATAGC